CTGATAAGCCAGTTATCAGGCCTTGAAGTAACATTGTTTCTTCGAATTTCGCCGGATCAACTTCATTGTATCTGCAATCATTGGTAGCCTGGTGTATACGAGCGATGATCTCATTGACACATTCTCCCTGGTCCTGGCAGAGTTTGAAAAAATAACACCTGGCTGTAACCACGCTTTGTCGAATACCCCAGAAGGCACTGAACGTATCCAAAACACTGTTTGCGGTTACACAGATGTCGTCAATCCGGAGGGCGTCGAAGTATCTGAATACTTAGAATAGAGAGCGATAAGATAAAAATCTGTGTTGCTCCATCGTGGGTGGATCGGGCACTTGCGCGGAATCACGTCGCTGATTCCTGCGTGGTGGCAGCATATTGCAGCTGTACTACATCTTATCTGGGTGCGATACGGTCTCTATAACTGTAGTCCGCAAACTGGGCGTCAAGGAATCTCTTAAATTCCGACACCGATTTCGCCTCGACTAGCGTCTCCGGCAATTTGTTCCAATATTTCATCACTCGACGCTCGAAGCATATTGGGTGAGCGATGCGCTTTATCTCCGGTACCACTAGTTTGTACCGGTGTCCGCGTGTGCTGCTTTGTGTGCGAACGTGCAGCAGCTGCTCCCACATAGGGGAATTGGCCCAGGTGCAGTATCCGGTGCGTCATAATGAGATCAACTCGAAGCCGACGATATGACAGGGTATAAAGCCCTAGTCTTCTACATCGGTCCTCGTACGATATACCCCGTGAACTGGGGATGAGCCGGGTAGCTACATGCTGGACCCGTTCCAGCCTCTGCACCTCACCTATTGTGATCGGGCAATAGGCGGGTGAGCCGTACTCAAGCACCGGTCTTATTATGGAAGAGAACAGACGGGTGGCAATCTCTTCAGACCAAGTGCAGAAACTGCGTCTAAGTGCCCAAAGCAGGCGTATTCCGTTTGCATACAGTCTGTTCGTGTTGTTGACAGACTTCAGATCACAGCATGAGAGTACGCCTAGATCCTTTATGGAACTGGTGGGATACAGCGGGTGGCCGGCCATGTTGTACCCACTCCCATTATTACTCCTTCCCAGGCTCATAAACGAGGACTTGGCCGTTTTGACCGGTAGGGCAACTTCTGAAGACCACCGGGATAGGTGGTCGATGCCCTGCTAAAGGACGTCACAGTCGCCGGGAGAATCAATAATCCTCCAAATCTTCAGGTCATCGGCAAATAATGCGCAGGGCGACAGAAGAAGCTAAGGTACTTTGTTGACGTGGATCAGGAACAAAATGGGCCCCAGGACTGTGCCTTGGGGTACGGCACTAGTGGACGGATACCATTCCGTTAGGTGGTCATCCACCTGAACCTGCCATCTTCTCCCAATAAGGAAGTCACTGATCCACTAGTGCAGTGCGCCACCAACACCACACATCCTCGGTTTGTGGAGCAGGACCTCATGATTCACTTTATCGAAAGCCTTACTGAAATCAATGTGGATAACATCCACTGACTTCCCCCAATTCAATGCTTGCAACCATTCCTGCCGCGTCAACAGCAGGTTGGTGGTGCACCAGTGGCCCTTCATGAAGCCGTGCTATGCGGGCGTTATGAGATATTTCGACTCCAGCAGCTGAAGAAGACCCTTTTTCACAATCTTCTCGAGCACCTTTGCCAAAACAGAGGTGAGACAAATCGGCCGGTAATTCTCCACATTGCCTGGGTCACCACTTTTTGGAATCAGCTTCACTATCGAGCATTTCCAGTCGCTCGGCACTGCACCCTCGGACAGCGATCTGTTGAACAGATCCGTCACGGCAGGCGAGATGATGGCCGATAAGGACTTTAAAATTAGCGGGTGAAGTCCATCGGGTCCGGCAGGTTTCGTGCCGTCAAGACTGGCGAGTAGACTGCGGACATCTTCTACACGGCAATCCAGGCCATCCAGTTCAGTAGGGACTACATACCTCGGGCTCGGCATAGACGCATGCCCAGTTATAAATACGGAAGCGAAGTGCCCCGCCAATGCGGACCCACGTTCAGTGCTGGAGGTCAGAGTTTGTCCGTCAGTGTTCTCTAACACAGCTATGTCACTTGTGGGCCTCAGGCGCCGCTGCACGTAGGCAAAAATCTTCTTGGGGGCCGTCTTCGCTGAAGTTACAAGCTCCTCTTTGAACTGCCGACGCTTCTGCGCTGTTGCATAGATTCCGCTGCTTTTTATACGCCATATAATCGTCAGCAGAGCCAAACACGAGGAATTTATTCCACAGTTGGCGTCACTGTCGAGTCAATTGACTATATCTCTGTCGAACCCGTGTGACCTCTCTGCTCCAGATTTCTGATACTTAAGAGGTACGAAACAAGCGCACACCGATTGCACACTGTTTTATAGCAGACAAACTGGTTTCAACGGATAAATCCTGCGGCAGCAGCCAGTCCACTTCACTGGCTGCTCGATTTAGACCATTGAAGTCACACTTCGATAATTGTAGGATGGCTTCGGCAGACGCGAGTGCGGCAGCGGTAGCTCTAGACTGGCTAACACCATCGCGTGGTCACTAGCGTCCAAAGACTCCAGGACCTGAATTTCATGTGCGCCTTGCTCGCAACTCGTTAGTAGTAGGTCCAGGCACGACGGGGCGGAATTCGGAGTAACGCGGGTCGGTTGGCAGACATGTTGTGCTACCCCAGTTTCAAATACCATCTCCGCAAACTGCGCCTCGATTTCACAGTGCCCGGGGAGAAGTTGAACCGCAGGCCACCGTATTCGAGGGAAGTTAAAATTACCCATAAGCAGGAAGCGGGCCGACTCTAGCTTCTGGCATGCGGCAACCAATCCAAACATCGACTTCGCGGGCTGCGATATGCCGCACCCACAAACCGTTCACCCTTCTCAGGCGGATCGAGCACCATAACTGTTCGCACAAGCCATCATCGCTGCGCTAGGTGTGTACCAGTCTCCTGCACATCGAAGACCTAATGTATAACAGCACGCCGCCTCGATCGTTTGATAGTCTGTCACACTGGAAGCACGAGTAGCCACTGATCTGGACTTCCTGAATAGTGACCTCCGGATTTAACCAAGTTTCGGCCAGTCCTAGTACACCGGACGACGAGAGTCAGCAAAATGATTTACATCCTCACGTTTGTTCATTAGACTACAAACATTTGTGAAGGTTACACGCAGGCCGCGACAGGAATCGGCAGACGCGCACGAAACATCATCGGTCCGGGTTCTGCGGACCCGGGAACTGCCTGAAAATTTACGATGTGGTGATTGGTTTCTCCACCATCCGTCCGCCGTTTCAACTCCACGATAGTGGATTTCCGTTTCTTTCCGTCCGACGGATCCAAATTGGGACGAGTATGGATCTTTAAACCTCTTCGCCTACCGAGGCGGGATAGTATCAGCCTCGGACTCGTTGCATCAACGAACGTGACTCGCAGAGGCCGGGATTTTCCCTCCTCTCTCTCCAAGACGGGTTATTTGCTTCACGTCGAGAAGCCTATCCATCAGGCTCTTCAGGAAATTCACGTCTTGCTCATAACGAGCCCAAGGACTAGCATCTGTCGACTCAGGCACTAATCGCTGGCCTTCCTCAACAACTGACTGTCGTAGTAGTTTGATCTTGTGTCTCTGTAAGCGAGACTAACGAAATCAAGATTGGGAGTAATTCCAGCTACGCAGAAAAGGTTTTCCGCCATCTATTGCAACTAGCCCTAGATGGTTTTTCTGTAGCACATAACCGGAACTACATGGGTGCATTCCCAATGGACATGGTAATAGCTGTCGCCAAATGATACGTATTAGTCACGAAAAGTAATGTACGAGAACGAATGTTCTAAAGGGCTCGGAATCCACGGTATCGAGAACAAGTCTGAACAGGACACTGTGTAATTAATAACTGACAGAATATCCGGCATGCATTCAGTGGGACACGATAAGTTTGTTGTGTGCGTTTGTGCGTGTTGTTCATCCAACCGAGTGGGGTTAGTGCCTGACCTTCAGTGCACACCGCGTTTGTCATTTTTGCGCCCACTCTACCGAATTTCGAAAAGATGACGACGCTACCTTACACCATCTACATTACTTGATTTGATTTCTGTTCAGTGAGTGACGACAAAGCGCAGACAAACATGGTGCTCGTCAACCCCGACGAAATCGGGGTAATCCGATATACTTTTGTCTTAACGTGAATAACATAATGAGTCCACAGATGCGCAGTTTACTATTCTGACACGCCTTTTGAACTTTAGTTCACCCATACAGACCAGCCCACAGCATTGGTTGTTTTACGCCTATTATACTAATGTCACACACATCACGTATCAGCACAAGAGACAGTCTTTATTAACTCGCACTATCAACACTCTCCATGTTTCGGTACATGTACATAGGAGCTTCCTGTTCCTGTTTTGACGACATTGCGCTGAGCTCCTTTCCAATCTGGAGACTACCATTTTTCTTACCAGCCTGTACTCCGTCTACAAATGCGTTACTTCGGACCTTACATGGTGACTTCACAAGAGCGTACTAGATATTAAGTAATTCTATTAGTGTATGCTGTCACCTACCGAGGCTCAGCCACTACCCTAACTCAAGAGATAATCACTTGATACTAGGTCCGATGATCGCCAGAATTGTTTTTCTATTCAGTACCACCAGACCCACAACTCCCTTCCAAATTCACTTGTTTCCGCGCCCATACCGAATATCTGCAAAAAAACAGTTGGGTATTTTACCTCGATGTCTTTAGACCTCCTTGTGCACTGTTTTTATGTGCATCGGCACAATTTATTAGCCTGTCACCCGTGGGGACACACCGAGCTTGCGCTTCTCCATACTCTGTACTACACATCATTACCCCACTAATTCACGGGTACTCGCTTCCTATCGTGAACACGACATCTCTTTTAGTTTTAGAATTCTCGTCTTACTCACCATGGAAGTTGGTCGCATTTTTTACCGCGTCGCTGTTTCATTAGCTTCTGACCCCAATCCGCATCTTTTAGCTCGCAGACGCCATCGAAACGAAGTTGGACCACGCATTTGCTCTACAACAGAGACCTGCTCTGGGCCTTATCGCCATGATAGAGTCGTGCACTGCAGTGCTCAACTTACCAGGCATATGCAAGGCTTCAAGGTCGCTGAAGGTTCCATTGCAGTGTGTCGTTTTCGGGTCGGACGATTATTGCGTGAGCCTTGGTAAGCACTCGCCAGCTCCATGTGATCACAAATTCGTGGGGTATTTCTGTCTTACCCTGTCTTCCAATTCTTTATTTGATTGCTTGCCGACCTGCTCAGTCCGATATATTAGACAGTTGTTTGTCTTTAGGCTTTGTTCAGCACACCAAGTCCATAGTGAACCTGACTTTTGCTGAATGATCTGTTATCACTGATATCGTTTCACATTACATTTCCACTTCTCTCTCATAACTAGGTGTCGAAAGGAGTAACGAAAATACCGAGCTGTCCTACGCACGCCAGTTTATCCCCGTTGTTGCCAGAGCTTTCGGGTTGTCATCCATCGATATGGTGGATATTGATTACAAAGGTAAGCTTTCTTCGCACCACTCTATCATTCGCTCTTTCGTAGACATGGACAAGTTGACGGTGAACTGCCGCCGTGGTGCACAGTTGGGATTTACTGGGAAACAGACAATTCATCCCGCTCAGTTGCCGGTGGTGAACAGCTCTTTTGCGCCATCTCCAGCGCGAATCGAATGGTCTAAAGCACTGCTTGCAGAAGCAGCGAAACATTCGGTTAGTAATGATGGTGTGAGTGCCGGAGCTTTCAGTTTCAGAGGCCGTATGATCGACCGACCGACTTTGAGGCAGGCACGGTACATTATTGAAATGTCACAATTGCTGAATTTGCAAGTGAATTCTTCTTAGCTGACTTTATGTTTCATGCACTTAAGCTTCATACATTGATTCAATTGGCTGTCGTCTGCTTGGATGTGACCCGAACCAATCATTGACTTTGCGAATTCAAAACTATATCCGACGTGTGTTTGTATTACAGACCTATGCAGCGGTTTATTTTGGATCTAATCTTCCACGATTCACTCTTGTAACGAATTCTGTCAGGTGCTTTCTACGATTTAAATCGGATTATCATGATTTGTCCTTATTGTGAATTTCGTCAAGATATTTTCCTCCAGATTATCTTTTTTTCTCGGATTATTTTTAATATGACACTGTTCAACTGTCTCGTCGTGTCCCTAGCGTTTAACAACAATTGAACGTACCGAGTAGTTTACTGAGGTTGATTCCCAGGTAACCCCCGTACTCTCCACTGACTCTAACCGTGGCGAATTGCGTTTCTTCTCCTGACTTTATCAAAAATGCTCACAAGTTAGTCTGGCCGATTCCCACTTCAATCAATATAGACAATGTGTTTTCTTCCAATTATTACGTCCCATTTATCTGTTTTTCACAAACTCACTATTCCTTGCTTCCCGTACTTCCCACATTAGATCATGAAAATCGATGCCGCCTACTTTCCTCCATAGAGACGCTTTACATGCACACGAGATTCCCTTTAGTGCCTCGGGGTTTTCCGTCCACTACGCACGAATTCATGTTTCTCTTTGTATTATTTTCCTTTTCCGATGAAAACGCGTACTGACTATATAAGCTATCCAATATTCTTGGAAGTACATTAACTAAACGTGGTATCTTCGTCCTTGGACAACTTTGTGTCGACTTGCACTCCAAGAGTCGACACAAAGTTTGGACAACGATCGAATCGAGGGATCGCTTATTTCATACATAAGTGGTGGGCGCTATTTACTCGCAGCATCTCCACATTGGTTACTTTCCTTTTTTTACCTTGCGCAGTCCGTCTGTCTTAGTAACATTGGCTTAGTCTTGTAATACATGCGGTGTACTGTTTCATCAAGTTGAGTTTTGAAATCAGTCAATGTAGAGGCGACAACGGAAATTAGGAGAGCGTTCCACCACTGGGACGCACGAAGTAAGCAGATATGCCGGCAGCACTCCACCGGCTGTACCGTGTGGCTAACTTCAAGGGATGGCCTCGGAGTGAGGCTTTGTGACTTGATTTCAATGAGTGTCAACATGCGTGGTTTGGATCTTTTGGAATCTGAAACACCAAAATAAGTGCACGTCGCAGGTGACAGTATTGACAGCCGAAAACTCCTAGAGTCTGTAGCCTATGTAGCCTATATTTTGTTGTTCTTTTTTGTGGAGTCTCAAGAGCAGCAAGGTCATACTTTTTCCAGGGGGACCAGACGCGGAGGTCGTATTCATTATGTGGCCTCACGTAAGCGTTGAGCATTTGTGAAAACGTGGTGGGATCAACCCGGCCAAACGTTCTCCGCTATAGACCTATGTGCTGTTTGGCTTTACTTGTTGCTTTTTCAGCCACTTTTGCACAACCGAGATCGTCCTGCCCGAGCACTCCCAGATCATTTTCATGGGACACGCGTTACAAAAGGTGTTCTTCTAGCCGGTATGCGTAAGTTCTCTGTTGGCGTATGCTCAGTACTCAAAATTTTGCAGCGTTGAGCTCAAGCAAGTCCTGAACTGACCAATTCTAAGCCCAGTCGAGATCATCTTGTAGTGTCATGTTGTCGTTTACCGTCCTGGTAGTCCGCCATCTTTTGGGGTCTTCCGCGAAGAATAAAACGTTTGTATCCATCACTTTTACATGGCCTTTAATGAAGCCGAAGATAAGTCTTTGTCTTAGAGCTGACCGTTGTGGGGCGCCATATTTCACTTCTATCGAATCAGCTCTCATCATCATTATACACGTTAGCTAGAGGCGGGCAACACCTCAGCTATTGTGCCGCAATACATAGAAGAGAAAAGGACAGAAAAATGCAACTGGTACAAACCGGCTGAGCTACCGGTAACGGAAGTGCATCGTTCCGATAAATTACCAGCCGGCTACTGTGCATCAGCTATGGCGCTACAAACTCTCGCATTTAGGCGACGTTGAAGTAGGCATGCACGTATCCAATTCAGGATGGGGTCGCCGTTTCTACAACTCTGAAACTTGAGAAGGATGCTGTGATCAAGACGATCAAACGCCTTCGAGAAATCGAGTTACACTGCGTCAACTCCCTCCTCAGCGTCTACAGATTCTATCCAGCTGGTAAGTCCTAACACCAGGTTCGTGGTACATGAGTGGTTTCTGAGGAAACTTCTAGCTCCAGTACCATGATATTGCATCTTTCCATGAGGGCCTCTGCAATAGCGGATTCTATGACCTTAGAAAGAACTCGGAGAAGAGTTAACTGGCAGTAGTTTGCTGGTTCGACGCTATTGCCTACCTTGTAAATGAGCCTGATTACTCCATGCTTCCACATGGCCTGGGACAGTATGTTGTCTACACAATGTTGAAATAACCGGGACAACGGTTCAGCTAGGCTGTTGGCCGCCACTTTCAATAACCTTGGCATAGTGACATCAGTCGCTTCTGTACTTCCGCGGTAGTAAATGCGATGTGGCTAAGTCCTGGTGTGTTCGTGATCAGTGTTAGAATTGTAGGGATATCAGTGAGTTCTGGAAAGTACAACCGCATTGTTGTGCAAGAGCGTTGGTGGCTTTCTGCGCAGTTTTCGCTTACGCTGCGCGGTGTTCAAGGACGAGATACCACACTGTATTTTACGCAGCCTGTTGACATGCCTGTAAAGTAGCTTAGGATTGGAGTAGAATCACTTCGCTAAATCCTGCTGATGTTCCAATTTATCCTCGCGGATCAGGCTGACACTGATTCCGCTTGGTTATATAGGTCCTTCAGTTCTCCGTGTTCGGATTGGCTTTGTATGCTTGCAAAAGTGAGTCTCTCAAAGACTTGCGTTTCAACATCCGGCTGCTCAGAAAGGACTTTATCTTCTTTGAGCTGCACTTTTTACTCTCTGTTGCGTTGGTTACCAGCGTGTTGCACAGATTGAGGAATTTATCCGCATAACAGAAGTATTGGAAAAGCAGTGTCTCATGATCGCTGCGTCCCAACATGCTGTTCACTGTTACTGTGTCGATCATACGTTCCTCACTGGTAAACACACGGTCACAATGAACTAATAGGATTACTTTTCCCTCCTCGGTAGGGCGTCTTTCTTGCATACGCAAAATAGTTCCTTACTAACTAACGTACATTTATTCATTTTGCCCGCCTATTAGTTAAAACATTATTAATTTCGCTACAGTGCTTTAGCTTTTTATTTGATTTGTTAATTATGTATATTTTGATTTCGATTTTGGTCCTGTCTAAAATATGTGTGAAAACTCGATGAGTTCTTTATTTGGCTCCTATGGTAATGTCGAGATATGCAAAATAAAGCCCTATCGTCAAGCGTGTCTTTTCAATTTGGATAATTGGGGCACCAAACTTCAGTTAGATGCCGTCGGTGTTTGATTCAAATAAGTTTACATCAGTGTCACAGATATGAAGCATGCGTTTCACGTTTTCAATTTTAAGAAAGTTTCGTACTTCCCTCTTGAAGTGTGTTGGATGCGTACACTCCCTAACACTCGTGACTAATTTATTCCATAAATTTATATGAAATACGAAGAAAAGACGTGCGCGCATTTCTCCTGGCCTTCAAGGGCCATATCGTAGTTAGCTATCAGTTCGTGATAGTCGGCTTCCGTCCTCCATGGCTCAGTTGCATTAGCTGCAGGCTAGTTGGCACAAGCCACTAGCAGTCATGGGTTCGATCCTCCTTAGAGGACCGAAGGATGCGCACCACTGACGAGCCCCAATATGGTGAAACGGTCTTCTGGTGTTTTTCCGCACATGTAGTTGACTTATCTGAATTGTCGGCTGACTGCGACGAACAAAAATACTCGTCAAAATCCCTCTACTCAAAGTAGTATAATCGTGCTATTCCTATTACGTAAGTTGATTTTTGTCCCAGCGATTAGCTGCGAGCGTGAGAGTGCCACTTTGTCAACCAGTTTGTGTAGAAAGCAATGGTTCATGGGACGCAACCAAAGAGGTTGGACTTTGAGATGGATGCATCGCTGGCTTGCCGAACAATGGGCTGGCTTGCCGAACAACCTCCTCGTGGTGCCAGCTGGGTGGTTCGGGATTTTCCCGTTCCAGCAAATGGTTCGACGGTAGTGTTCCAGGAGGTGGTGGGTGTTCACCTGGCAAGCGTTCTCCCTATAAAAAGCCACATATGTCCGTTTAACAACACTGTGACGTGGCGGACGTGACTCGCCACTAAATAAAGTCACTGCCTCTTGCTTCATCCTGGCGAAGCATTGTATTCCAGCAACGTCATGCTGTACTTCTGGGGAGCATTGGGCCCCTGTTTGACAAAGGAACAAACGAAAGACGTGTGAACTGAGCAATCAGTCACCGGCTCCCAATGGGCGCGATTCCCTGAATTCGCTCCGTTGCCTTGCGGACAGGCTATTCAGCCAAAGGCTCGGGGTGGTGTCCCCTAAGTCAACACCCTACTTCGGCTTGGGCAACCGGGTAGTATCTTGCCCTCTGAGGAAACCATGGACATTGTTGTGTTGTGTTTTATTTTACTATTTCTGTACTTTCGTTTGAATCCCATGATTTCTGCTGGCATTATGTCTATTCGTAGACTTTTGCAAATATATATATATATATATTTTTATAAGTCATACCCTGATTTCCATTGAGGACCCCCTTGGTCCTCAAGTGCCTCTGGGTTATTTCCAGTAGGATCCGGTTAGATTTCCCTAAGCTTCTCCATATGAATGTGCACTATTCCAGTTGCGGACGAATGCATCTGCTGTAGATTTCTAATCTAGCTTCAGCAGTGAAGATGTGCCGGTTTATGTGACAGGTTGACTATCGTGCTTTCGCTGCACTAACACGTATTTGTTTGGTAAAGTTTAAACTATTGGAATAACACAACCATATGTCCTTCACTGAGGTGCTCATTTTGATAATGTTGTTATTAATAGTTAAGGCCCCGGGAGGTATGATGCATTTATCAACAATAACGTTAGACTTTTCGACTGAGAATAGCATCTGCCACTTATGACACCAAGACTCGGCTGCTATGTCCTCGCGGATTTTGTCTAGTTCAACTAATGGGTCATTTGGTTGTAAGATATAGGGGCGACCATGTATTAACATGTCACGTAGGTCGTTTAGGTACATTAGGAAAAAGAGCGTACCTAATACCCTGTCTTGAACCACACCACTTGTAACGTCTGTAGTAGTTGATTCAATCCCTTCTATTTTAACAGATCGCGTATGTTGATTAATATAAGAGCGAAGCCGATTTAGCAGAGGCTGTCGTACGCCATAAGCTCTAACCTTATTCATTAGG